GGGGGCGCTGGAGGAGCCCCCCTTCCCCCCCCCGCGAGCACCTTTGTCCTGGCTGCGGGTGGTGGGCCAGCCGGGGTGTGGTACTGACACCGGGCGGAGCCACCGGCCGAGGAGGGTGGGGGAGGCCCGGGGTCCCGGCACCTCCGCTTGTCCGTGGCTTTTTATAGCCCCCACCCCCGCCTCTTCCCGGGCCTGGGTGAGAATGAGCCCTTTCGGACTGGTGGGCATCAACCATCAAATGCCACTGGGCCGGAGTGGCCAAGGACGCTGCTGGCTCCTCGCTTTCCTTCATGTCTCACCCCAAATGCAACTGGAGAGGAGGCCTCCGGTTGCCGAATTCGCCGTGTGGAAGAGACTTGGTGCAGGCTGGGCGGCTGCCAGCCTGGAGTTACGAGTCTGTTCTGGCAGCTCGCTCTCTCTTGTTTGAGATCTGCGATGGGGGCTGGGGGTGGGGAGGGTCGCCCGTCCCAGGCCGGGAGGAGGACCTTGGCAGCCGGCCGAGGCCCTCCCGGGACCATCCACACTGCCAGCTCGCCACTGCTTAGGGGGAAAGGGCCTGTGGCTCAGGGATTTGGGGCCAGCAGGGAGGATTTCTGCCCCAGGTCAGACTGTACCCCGAAGAGGTGGAGGTGCACACACACCCACACCGTCCCCTTCGGTGTCACACACAGTGCAAAGCTGAGCATAGTTTTACACACACGACCACTTGTACGGCCACACACACAGGAGTACACGCAGCCAGGTACACACCGACTCATGCCCGCGCCGGGTCAGGGTCACAGACACTCCTGGCCGTGGCGTTGATGCAGCGTCGGGAGCTGCTGCAGTCCTTCAGCACCAGGGACCGAGCGGCAGAGGCAGGCAGCTTGGAGCCCAAGGAAGCCTGAGGTCAGGGCCCCCAGCTGAGCCGGCTCGCCAGCCCCTAGACCCCCCATACTCTACTTTCCCCAGCTCTGAGAGAGAGACAGCTGTGTGAGGGCAGTCTCTAGCAGAGGCCTGGCGCTGCGGGGGGACGGGGGGGGGTGACGGCGGCCACCACAGTGTGTGGGGTAACAGCGCTGCCTGGGGGTCAGGGGGACAGGGTTCTACGTCCAGCTGGGCCACTTGACCTTGGGCAAGTTTCCTCCTTGGACCCCAGTCAGCTTCTGCCTGACTTCCCTCTACAGAGCCCCACCCTGAGGTGCCCAGGGAATGAGAGCACTACTTGTCCTTAGGAAATGGACTCTCAGGGGACACGGACACACTCACTGCTGTAATACAGAGCGCTAAGTGCAAAGATGAGCTGCACACAGAGGGCCTTGAGAACGCCATAATGGGTCTGTCTGCGAAATACTTTGGGGGAGAGATGCAGTTTGAGCAGGGCTTGAAGGATGAGCAGACATTTACGAGTAGGTAAATAAGTCTATTTTGAATGCTACGCTGCGTTAGCCCTGCTGTAGCTGTTGCACCTGTTGTAGAACTCAGGGCTGTTCTGGGAGCAGAGGGGTCAGCGGGAGCTCCATCCAGCTTTGGAGCCGGAGGCCGTCTTCTGCAAGCTCCACCACTTACTTACAAGTCGTGGAACTTTGAGTTCTTGACTCAGTGCTTTGGTTTCCTCACGTACAAAATGGGGGTAAAAGATGAGCCTCATGTACCTGACTATTCGTGTGAAAGACTTGGAATCCTGCCTTGAACACAGTTCCGTCATTCCAGGAGAGAGGACTCAGCAAGAGCGTGTGAGGGCCGTCTGCTGGGAAAGCAGGGGCCCTACTGAGGACCGAAGGGGGTCTGGCTGGCTGAGCAGGTGCATCCTTCCTGGCGCTAGGAGCTCTACCTTTCCAGGTAGTGCAAGGCTGTTCGCTAATCCGGTGGCCTACAGTAAGCTGTATTTTCTCAGCTGGATCCTTTAGACATAGTGGGCTAGGAGTAGGAGGTGTGAAAATGTTGCCGCATGTTCTGGATTGTCAAGCCCTGGGTGGGTGGCAGGGAGTAGTGCGAGCTGAGGCTGAAAAGGTATGTTGGGGCCACATGGTTAAGGGCTTTGAATCTATGCTAGGCAGTGGGCTGTCCGTGCGTGAAGTGGTGCGCCCCGGCTACGTTCTGGCAAGCTGTGGCACTGTAGAGAATGGACAGGCGTGAGAAGGAAGAAAGCCCGTCGGAAGGCTCTCACGCAAGTGCAGGTGTGTGGTGATGACTTGGAGTAGGGCCCCGGCAAGGGGGTGAGGAGGGGCCAGAGACTGAAGACTTTCTGAGATCGGTCAGTTCTCAGCGAGTTGGCTACATGGGTGAGGGAAAGAGCTGCTTAAGGATTCTTTGCCTCCTCAACCCGCTGTATGGGGCTGTGCTTCTCCGAGCTGGAGAATACAGGTGTAGCAAGCCCAGGGAGGAGGACAGTTTGAGATGCCAAGTGACACCAGCTGAAGCGATCTAAACAACACCCTCTCTGGTAGAGGGACGGGGACGAACTAATTAGGTGACTGTGGAGGCTGTCTTCAAGCTTTAGGTTTCAGTGCAGGTGCTGGGTGGTGTGAGGCCAGGGACGTCCGGGGCCTGGTGAAGCCACACTTGTGGTTTCCTGAGGGCTACCATGAGACACAGAATGGGAAGCCAGGGATTCCTGGGGTGTTAGAGAGGAGGACAGAATACACAATGATTTAGAAGAAAAATAATCTGGGGGCGCCTGGGTGGCTCAGTCAGTTAAGCGTCTGACTCGATTTCAGCTCAGGTCATGATCTCATGGTTGTGGGATCCAGCCCCTTGTCAGGCTCCGTGCTCAGCATGGAGTCCGCTTGAGATTCTCTCTCTCCCTCTGCCTCTGGTCCTCCCCCTGCTTGCGCATGCTCTGTCTCTCTCTCTCTCAAAATAAATAAATCAAATCTTAGAATAAAAATAATCTGTAGTGGGAACTTGGAGCTAAGATATAGAGCTTAAAACCTGGACACAAGTAGGCCTTTTCTTTTTTTTTTAAGATAGATGTGTATATATATATACATATACATATACATATATATATATATATTTTTATTTGAGAGAGAGAGAGAGAGCGAGCACGAGTGGGGTGAGGGGCAGAGGGAGAAGCAGACTCCCTGCTGAGCAGGGAGCCCGATGCGGGCCTGAATCTGGGACTCCAGGATCATGACCTGAGCCAAAGGCAGACACTTAACCGACTGAGCCACCAGGCACCCCACAAGTAAGCTTTTTCAAGACATAAATTCTTTGATACAGGGGCTTTTCATTTATACTTTATATCTAAAGTAGTTTTCTTTAAAACTATACTCAGATTTAGACTGTCTTATAACTGGTGCCCAAGGAGTATCTGAGTTCCCTTGAGCAAACTACTTAATCTCTCTTTTTTTTAAATTTATTTATTTGACAGAGAGAGAGACAGCGAGAGAGGGAACACAAGCAGGGGGAGCAGGAGAGGGAGAAGGAAGCAGGCTACCCTCTGATCAGGGAGCCCGATACGGGGTCAAGCCCAGGACCCTGGGATCATAACCTGAGCCGAAGGCAGACGCCCAACGACTGAGCCACCCAGGCGCCCCACATATAAGACCTTTATAAGTATAATTTATTGTTATTTCCATGGTACTTTATATTTTCAAAGAACTGCTCAGAGATCCAAGGCAGGTAAGATGCATTGGAAACAGGAAGGACCAAAGCCATCTGAAGGCCAAAGAAGCAGGAGGCTATTCCTTAACAGGAACTGGTTGAGCTAGCAGGCAACTGGCCGCTGGGTTAAGGAGCTTCTCCGTCAGAATCACAGAATCTGAATTCAAGAGCCTTTGACAGGCCAGAGGATGGGCCAGTCCTAACAAGATGAATGAAGTTTTGTTTTGTTCTGTTCTGTTTTATTTTGGAGAGGGAGGGGGGGATGGGAAGGGGCAAAGGAAGAGAAAGAATCTCAAGCAGGCGCCACGCCCAGAGAAGAGCCCAACGTGGGGCTCAATCCCAGAGCCCTTAGTCAAATGCCTAACCAGTTGAGCCACCCAGACGCCCCAACAAGAGGAATGAAGTTTTACAGGAACAAGAGATGTGATTTAAAAGCACTTGGTGTGAAAAAGTCTTAAGGCTTTTAGTCAAACTCACTATTTGTCAACAATATGATAGAGCTGTTCTATGTTGGCAATATTAGCCTTTATCAATAGGAGTATAGTGTCCAGAGATTCACTGCTCAGAACACATCTGGGTACTCTTTCCAATACCCATCCCCAAGGGACAGTGACAATTTGGAGCCTCGTCAAAAAGAAGTGATCCAAATGAGGAGGGCACTGGACACTTTGGCATGCATGGAATAATTGAAAGATGTTACTGTTCTTTAGGTGTCTAAAGAACTTACATGAGAAAGTAGTTAGGTTTGTCTAGAAAGAGGATTCTAGAAAGAGGAATCAAGTCTAGGTAAAAAATGCAGACAAGGAGCGCCTGGGTGGCTCAGTCGGATAAGTGTCTGACTCTTGGTTTTGGCTCAGGTTGTGATCTCAGGGTTGTGAGATTGAGCCCCGAGTTGGGCTCTGTGCTCCGCGTGGAGTCTGCTTAAGTTTCTGTCTCCTTCTCCCTCTGTTCCTCCTGCCATCCTCACTCTCTCTCTCCCTAGAATAAATAAATCTTTAAAAAAAAATATTCCATCCATTTACTTGACAGAGTGAGCGAGCCAAACAGGGGGAGCGGCAGGCAGAGGGAGAGGGAGAAGCAGGCTCCTTACTGAGCAGGGAGCCCAATTTGGGGCTCAATCCCGGGACCCTGGGATCCTGACCTGAGCCAAAGGCAGACGCTTAACCAACTGAGCCAGCCAGGTGCCCCTAAAATAAATAAATCTTTTAAAAAATATTGCTGAGGGGCGCCTGGGTGGCTCAGTTGGTTGGGCATCTGTCTTTGGCTCGGGTCATGGTCCCAGGGTCCTGGGATCGAGCCCCACGTAGGGCTCCCCACTCGTCGGGAAGCCTGCTTCTCCCTCTCCCTCTGCTCCCCCTGCTTGTCCTCACTCTCTCTCTCTGTCAAATAAATTAATAAAGTCTTTAAAAAAATTAAATTAAATTAAAATTAAAAAATTGCAGAGAAGGTTTTACTTCAACACTAGAATTTTCTTATGACAGCGGAACAAATCGTGGCGGCTCAGGTGTGAGTGTCCCGGCCTTGAAGGTATGTATGTATGTAAGCAGAGACGAGACACTGACATCATGGGGATGCTGTCAGGGGACCTGAGCGATGCGTGGATGGGGGCGGGAGCAGACACGTGCCCTCTTGAGATGTGCAACCCGGATATAACCCTAAAGGCTCCCATTGCCAACCATCCTGGGATTGTGGCTGTCCTCTCACTTTAAGTCATTTCTCTTGCAGGGAAACAAGAGCAGAAGCCAGTTCTCCTCTTGAAGAAGAGAACTCTGAATCCCCCCCTGAGGTGGGGACTTTGGACCCAGAAGTGAGTCTGTCTTTGAAGGGGACCTTGAACTTAGAGGACATTCTCTACCTGGGGGACAAAGGTGACCTCGATGAGATAGATGAGACACTGTGTGTGGAAGAGACGGAGAAGCCCGAGGAGACACTGCACATCGAGGAGACCAGGCAGCCAGGGGAGGCCCTGGATGTGGACGAGCCTGCGAAGCCAGAGGAGATCCTCTATGTGGAAGAGCCCGCGAAGCCAGAAGAGACCGCAAGCCCAGAGCAGACCGGTGATGGGGGAGAGACGGGCACGAGCGAGGAGACAGCTCGCCCTGAGGAGGGCCTCAGCGCCGGGCCTAGTCCCAGCACAGAGGGTCTGAGCATAGAGGATCTGGAACTGCTGGAGGAGCGTTTCCAGCAGTGTGTCCAAGCTGTGGCCCAGCTGGAAGGGGAGAGGGACCAGCTCATCCACGAGCTGGTGTTGCTCCGGGAACCAGCCCTGCAGGAGGTGCAGCAGGTCCACCAGGACATCCTGGCTGCCTACAAGCTGCACGCCCAGGCGGAGCTGGAGAGGGATGGGCTAAGGGAGGAGATCCGGCTGGTCAAGCAGAGGCTCTTCAAGGTGACCAAGGAGTGTGTGGCCTGCCAGTACCAGCTGGAGTGCCGCCGGCAGGACGTGGCCCAGTTTGCCGAGCTCCGGGACGCGCTGACCACCCGGGCGGCCCAGCTCTCCGAGGAACTGGTCCAGCTCCGGGAGGCCTACCGGAGGCAGAAGGAGCAGCTACGGCAACAACTAGAAGCCCCTCCAAGCCAGAGGGACGAGCACTTTCTCCAGGAGAGCCGGCGGCTCTCTGCCCAGTTTGAGAACCTCATGGCGGAGAGCCGCCAGGGCCTGGAGGAGGAGTATGAGCCTCAGCTGCTGCGCCTTCTAGAGAGGAAAGAAGCTGCGGCCAAAGCTCTACAGAAAACCCAGGCCGAGATCCAAGAGATGAAGGAGGCTCTGAGACCCCTGCAAGCAGAGGCCCGGCAGCTCCAGCTGCAGAACAGGAACGTGGAGGAGCAGATCAGGCTTGTGAGGCACAAGCGAGATGAGGAGGTGCAGCAGTACCGGGTAGGGCCCTGGGCGCCCGCACAAGTGCAGCCCGTTAGCCGGGGAAGGAGGACGTGACCGGAGCCAAAAGTCTTCCGGGCACTTTGAAGGATCCTCTCTCGTGTGGGAAGAACAGCTTACTCCTTGGGGCGTCCACTCACTTCCTTACTCCACTCTTCATTCCACTCAGTCAGGCCCGTGCTAGGGGCTGAGAACAGTCTGCACCCCTAGTGCATGCAGCACCCCGACACCGTCGTCACTCGGTCCTCTCGTTAATCCTCCGAATCAAGGATTACCGCTTTCATAGATGAGGAAACAGGCTCAGTGAGCTGGGGATTTTCTTTTTTTTTTTTTTAAGATTTTATTTGTTTATTTATTTTATTATT